TATCATTTCATTTCTTTCAAACACAACACAAAACTTCAGAAGCCTGTTCCAGTTGTCAGTTTTATTTGAAAGGTGTCTTCTATACATTATTTTATATATAGCAATAAATATGAAAGGCCTATACAAACGCTTGAAGAGGACCAATACTGCCCTTCATTTTTTATACTCATCTTTCAATACTTAAAGGGACAAAACTTCATCAAACAGCCCACATATTTAGTAAAATAAATTTTACAAAAATCTCAGATCATGTATAACAGAACCTTTTCGACCGGGTTTTCTTTTACATATACGCAACCCCAACACAAAATATGTTCAGTGGCCTTTGAGAATTTCACAGTATAGACTGATGTACGTTTTTCTCAAGATGGACAGTAAAAATAAAATTCAGATTGAGAATTTCACAGTATAGACTGATGTACGTTTTCGTCAAGATGGACAGTAAAAATAAAATTCAGACTTAGGTTATACTCCAATGCAGGAATTTGGCATTACCACTTTTAATGACATACTGTGTCAATATATTTTTTAAAAACATTCCGATAAATTAAAAAGGACATAATCTTGCCTTCAAATAAAACCCACGTAATTTAAAAAAAATTCAGAATGGGTATTTGCTTTTATGTAACATGATTCTTCCCCAAGCTTTAAAAAAATTAATTCAATACCACATAAAATACTTTTGATATAAAATAACATCATAAAATAAGTAAACTTTTTGCTTTTTGTAAACCATAATTTATAGACTCTTTAGGGCATCATCCACATGCACTTATGTAATCTCACTAATTCACATATTTAAAAGAGTATAAAGCAAAGCATGTGGGAGGAATGGATACTAAATTGAATATAACTCCTCTTCTAAAAGTTGGGATTTTTTTTGGTTGTGTGGTGGTTTGGGTTTTTTTTTAAGATAAGGTCAAACCCCAACAATATTGAAAGGAGAATTTGTCCTCATCCCAAAACTAAAGAAGTTAATTTAAGGACTGTAGATTAAACTTGCTGGCAATCAGAAGAAATATTTCAAATATTTTCTATTTTGACAATAAAAGTGTAGGCTTTAGGTCAGAAAAAATATAACAATATAATTTACTGTAAGTGCACAAAAGCCCAATCCTGCAACTCTTTCCTGTTCATTCAATTGTTTTCACTTAAGGAAAGTATGTAGGATTTCCCTCTCAACCTTGACTTAACAACTTACGTAAATAACTGTTTTTGAAGAATATGAATGTCTAACAGTTTACACATATACTAGATTTAAAGGGTATTTGGGAATGTCTATCCTGTTTTTCAAAAGAACTACTACTTTTAAAAGAAGTGCTGCACTAATTTTTCCTTTCCTTCCAAATAAAGCTTTATGAGCTCATATTACTAAACAGTACCGTCATTTCCACTTGTTAAAGTTTAAATGCTTGGCTCATTCTTTCAAAGGAGAATTTGCAGGTTCACTGCAAAGTACACGGGCCAACTCTCTGCTCAAGGGCAGATGTCCAGTACGGCTCAGCTTGGCAGAGCAGCTGTGCTGTAGGGTTCTCATTCACTGCATCAGAGTGGTTTCTGTAACAAACTTCCTTGGTTCACTGCAGTTCTCAACGTACATCAGGACTGGCAGTGTCATTTCTGACAAAAACACTTTCAAGGTAGGAATGCATTTATCAAAAAAGTAAGCTTTGCCCCATTACGAATGATTTGAAGTTTGCGTTCCTGAGCTTGATAGTGGACAGGGGGAAGGGCAAGGGAAAGTGTCTTACATCTTAAATTATACAGCAGTACCATTAGGACAGTATTTAAAACCTAGTATTAGAAGAATGAATAAGTTACAAACACAACTTTAAGAATATTATAACCAAATAGTAGTTTATTCAGAAGACCTTAATCTTCTTTCTTTTGTGTTTGAAATCGTTCCATTAAAGCCCTAAATATATTTCCTGGTATTTTCTGATGTTTTTCTATTAGAGCTTGGAGCGCTGCTTTTGTCTGTAAGGAAGGAGAAAAGTTTTTGGTCAGGTTAAGTCATCTTTATACTGTTCATATGTTAATAGAATTTCTAGGATCTTTTTCATTCTTTCAAATGCCGCAGAACTACTGCAAGTTCAAAATACTACTTTTCCACATTTAAGTCCACAGGCTGTGTTTGTGGAATCACTGCCAAGAAACAGACCAACCAACTAGTATCTTCTCTCTCTGGCAGCTGTGCTCACAAGCTCTACTGGCGATACACAATAGTAAAATGACAATGGAGTAAATGAATGAAGAGACCTGCATCTACAAAACATGTCAGTGCCTGCATGCTGCACTGCAACTCAGAAACTTCTGCCTATGCCCAGGTTTGCATCAGTAACACTCTTCCAGTATGCAAGTATGCACGCTTTTACACATGCTCAGAAGCAGAACTGGAAACACAATTGTGTCTCAGCCCATTTGGCTTGTACAAAGTAATTATCCTTGCACCCAAGTCCCCTAAAAGAGCTGGTTCTGCAAAGCACAGTTCGACCATGCCTAAAATACTGCATATGACAGCAGCATTCACTTTCACTCAAAAATGTAGCAGGCCAAGAAGTTAATAGCAGCCATTCTTATTACATAAAAGCTCTGTAGGGAACTTTTAAAACCAGGACAATATGCAAAAGCTACGGTGAGGACAGGCCATAACCTTCCTATTCTGCCTAGAGAAGCACAGACAACAGAAATCTTAAGGCTAGAGACAAAACAGAGAACTATTTGCTTTTGTAAACCAGTGATCAGCAAGGGGAAACATGATCCTTGGTATAAGCTCCCCCTGTTTCCATGAAGTATGTGATCAACTTTTAAGTCCTGGGAGGAGGTTCCTGCCCATATCTCTTTATAGATCTGGTCTTAAGTGTTGCTACAGATCCAAAATTTCATTAGGTAAAAAATCTGAGCTTAATTTTTTGCTATATACAATGGGAAAATGCATACTGTGCCATAGTCTGAAACAGGAGATACAACTTCAAAATCACTCTAACTGGGATTCTAGGGGAGTCACATTCTACGGGCCTTATCTAGCAGAATTTGCACTTAAGTCAGAAGCAAGTGAGGGTTGGCACAAATGTAAAATGCCAAAGCATATTCAAAAGTCATTTAAATACACATTCTCTCCTGAAAGTCAAGGGTTCTGAAGTCCCATCAGACTGAACCCCCAAAAGAAACAACCAGTTTTCCATAACCAGGGCATAAGATAATGCAGATAAATATTTTAAGATGTCGTTTTGCAGAGATCTAATCAGAGGGATGGGGAGAGACAACTGAACTGACACCTGCGTGGTCAAGAAGAAAAATCTCCTTCCCTCAAAGTGAAGTTTTCAGAATGCCAGAAATGACCATCTGTGGAGCTTTCAAAAATGGCTCTTTCAGCCCCCTCCATCTGACTGCTCCATCACTTAACTGTTTTATGTCTCTGCACTGTGAAATCTATTAATAAACTGAATGAACATGAGGACCTGAAAATCCTTTCTATAAACCACCTAAATATGAACTAGGGGAACATTCAAAAGTTAATCTGTTGGGTGACAAGTTGGGAGGAAATAGAAATGGAAAAACAGTTGTATAAAGCAATGATTTACCTTAATTTTTTATTGTATGGAATTTCAACAGTTTGTGAACATGGAGTTGCTATATTTGAAAGGCTTCATTAGTATCTTTCTGAAAAGACCAAGAACGAGAACACTTTCTCTGGATGAAGTGCTTATGTCTTTATCAACCCAGAGCAGTCTTATCTGACTGAACTTCTTCAGTGCCTAAAGCAAGTTGCTTCTCAAAGCAAATATAGGGTGCAGTATTTACTTTAAAAGGCCTAGAACATCTGCAAGGTGTAGTAATAAAAAGATAGCATTTAAGAAGGGCATTCAGAGTTAAGCATGTCCAAAGCCTACCATTATTCCACCACCTTCTATAACTAGCTCCAAGGCAGAAATCACTTGACAAGAATGTTCCGGTGTTTTCTATCAGAACAGTCAGTATTTGAAATATATATATGCATATCTATCTTACCTTTGCAGTTAGTTCCTCAGCAGTTGTATTTGGATCATATGGAATGGGTTCTCCAATAAATGTACGAAGCTTGACTGGAAACCCACCGTACACAGGAACTATTGGCAATCTAATACGTTCATATAGTGCCTTAAGTATTTCTAATGTGAAAAAATTTAGGGGGGAAGGGGAAAACCAGGAGAAGGAATCATATTAAAACCACTTTTGCTAATACCTTTGACAGTGATTCCTTAAGTGATCTAAATCACTCCTTCGCAACAGCTTGTCAAGTAATCCAGCCCCTGACCCAGATTCTCAAACAACGCGTCATCTCAAGTGCTATTCTACCCTTGACTTTCATTTCCTAAAAGCTGCATTACTGCTAACATCAGACTGGTTGCCACCCTAACTTGGTGTGAAATCTCTCCTCCAAAGAGTAGCTGCAAAGAGAAGGAAGAAGAGGAGAAAAATACAGTAGGTGCCTCTCTGGAGAGAAAGGGAATGCTACACAATACAGGTTACAGTTCAGTTAATTTTAAAGATTAGCATAAGAAACTAGTATTGGAAGTCTGTTCTGTTCAGTCCCACTGAGGTCCAGAGGATCAGAAATAGTCTTATCTGCCTAAAGGCCAGTCATGCTAGAACACTGAATTGCTCTTTCAGATCACACACTGGTTGCAGTGAAAAAAACATAGAGAGAAAAAACAGGGTTTTAATCAGCTCTAAGAGGACACATCGTCTTCCCCACGTGCTGCCTTCAAAGCATCTAGCCCAAATGCACCCAGAAGAGATTCCTTGCAGAATGGGTGCTAATATTCTCTCTCTCTAGACAAGAAATTCTTTTAACTGAGATGCTGACAGAAGAAAATCCTTACTGAGCAAGATGAGGAATTTTCTGTACACAACCTGTAAGAACAAAGAATATTCCAAAACTACTGAAATTGGAGTGACACCTCCAGTGATCAATAGAATTCAATTCCTCTAGCACCTCTGCTGTAGAATAAAAGTAGCATGAATAATTTTGGCTTCAATTTCTGCTTGTTTGGGAAGATCCTCCTGAACACAGCAACAATTAATTGCTTTTTTATTTTTGTACAACCTGACAAATGTGTGAATTATTCTGCACATCTACATTTGATGCCTTGGCTTTCTCCATGCAATATATAGCTTTTAATTAGAGGGGGAGAGAAACAGAACTGGTTTGCCCTGCAGTCCTCTGACGAAGATGATGATGCCATACTTGAGGCAGAACACGTAGCGTGGAGGAGACTGTTCAGGCCCTTTCTGCTAGATAGTAAGTTGGAGAATATAAAAAAGGGAGTTTAACACTAGCAGATCAGCAGAGGTGTGGGCATCTAATCATCCCAGAGGTGGACCCTTCAGACATACACCCATCTATTCGTGTGCTGCTGGGAGTCCCCATAGAGATGAGGAAAGAGAGCAGGCAAACGCAAGGTTTTGTGAGGAACCACAGGTCTAGTGCTGAATAGTAAAACAACTACAGATTAAATAAATTTCAAATCATTCAAAGTTTAAGTACAGGTAGAGGTGTAAGCACAGAGCTTTAGGAGGTCATTTAAAGAAATTACGTGTCAGAAATTACCTGTTTGCTTTCCTTCTTACAGACAGCAGAAAACCTAGAGCTGGCCTAGCAGATATAAGCAGAGAAAAAAAGTGCTCTAAATCTATTTGCCTTTTTCTGGCTCCTTTTTCCTTTCTTCTACTGCTTCTGCGAAGGCACACGTATGTGGAGAGTAACTTAGATGAGTCAATACCACATCTAATGCTGATATTAAATCCTAGTAACATCTCTGAACTCTACCGGAGAGCAAAACTCCAGAAACAAGGCTGTGCCAAATTTATGGGGGGATTACTTCTACAGAGATAAGCTAAACATATATGGAAAAATAAACTACAAAAAAATAGAAAATATCTTACTTATTCCTCCTAATGTCCTAACGCCTTCTCGAACATTTTGTGTAAACATAGGAATGATGGGCTAGGAGGAAAAAAAAATAATTAAGAATTTAATGAAGATAGCACTACCTAAAAAACTTCTACCTCACTTAAACCCAACAAGCAAATTAATTTCAGAAGTGTTTCTCAGACAAGGACATATAGAGAGCAAAACAAGTATTCTTAAGTTCTTCTGCAACCTTCTGCCATGAGTTTTCAAGCTGGAGAATACTGTGATATTTCAGTGAGTCACTGTTTCAGCAAGTCTGCTTTCTCAAAGCAGTCCAGGATTTCAGAACTTATGGAGCATTCAGGCCTCTCCTCGTCTAGCAGTCTTTGCACAGTTGAGCCTTAAGTAGTTAAACCTCTTACCTAATTTGTAGTCGTGCTCAAAGGGAAGAACTCACAGGATTGGGACCCTAAACTTGTCAGATTAGTCTCTGTTATGCTGATTGTATTGCTTCACACATGGTGTGTCATATTCAGTACATGTCCATGGTTTATTTCAGCTGACAAATATTTGGAATGATGTCGAATATTTCAAGTTTATATTGCTGTTTTTGAACTTGCAAACAACTATCAAGATTTACAAGAACTGGGAGGGGGTCGACTACTACATGAAGCTTTTTTAGTATCATTTTATACTATGTACTCACTCTACATAGCATCATCAGAAATACAGAACTCTATGGGGTTTTCAGAATTCAGATTCTTTCAAACTTTTTTAAACTGAAGTCTGCAAATAATCCAATGCAACTATAGGGAATAAAAAGAACTGCAGTTGCCTAAACTGAATGGCAACAGAATTCTTTATTTTAGAACCAACTTATCTGGAACATCTTACTTTTGATGTAAAGGTAGGGATTTTTGTATGTTGGTTTATATGACAAAAATTCTGGAAAACAAATTGCTGAAATGAGACAACTTCAAGAAGTTGAAGGTCCCAGTTTTAGACACATTTTTCTTTCCATGAGGAGTTATGCTCACAATTAAAGGTGACTTAAAGTTCATCTTTAATCTAAATAAAGATATTTTCCCCACTTTCATCCTGGCTCCAACAGTATTCCTATTCTACTGCATCTCTCAGATTTTATTTTTTTTTAGGGGGTGATGAAGCTGCAAGACCTTTGCGAGTGCATAAAGGGAACTGAACACACATTACAACTGTAGTTGAATCCCAAGTATGGTCTTCCATATGCTATTACAATACATTAGTAAAACCTAAATCTGTTGAAAATATCCTGTTTAAACAGTGTTATTTTCCTCCTGAGAAAAGTGACACACACTTAAAATTAAGTCTTAAAAGTATTCTATTTCTGTATAAAATCCAGAGATTTAACGAGTCTCTCTTTGACAGTACCTAAATATAAAACTCTTGGTGTGAGACTTACTTTCAAATTAGCTATATGCAGACCTATGGACATATGCACACATCTTTTAAGCACAAATACAGAAAGAGAGGGACTCTGAAATGCTTATTAAAATAGTTACAATTCAAATATATCATACACTTAGGTGCCTTCACAGTTGGTCCCATATGAGTAATTATCTGCCTGCTGACGAAGCACAATGCTATATATTAGAACTGAAGAGACAGTTCACACTAGTGAACAGCATCTCCTGCTGCTGCTGTATGCCCTAGACATCCCTTACCACCATAAACTGCCAACAGTGCCAGCGAGTCTATACTGTGCTGGGTCACAGTATACTTCAGCGACAGGGGAAACAGAAACGTTGATGCATGGTTGCTTCCCAACTGTTCTGGTCAGGGGTTGAGCCATCACAGTCCTGACCAGCTGCGTGTGAAACAGCACAAGCCTGTCATATAGAAACTGTACTGGATTTCATCTCTCATTCTTTTAAACTCTGGATTTCGTGACCCCACCATTCTTAGCTGACTCCAAAGCCTTCTTATCAAAAGCAACAAAAAGTCTTGAAACACAATTCTGAGAGCAAGTAGACCATACTCATGACACTCAGCAACGTAACACCCAATATATGATAATCAAAACAGCTTTCCCTGGAAAAAAGTACTAATAAGTTAGCATTCTTTGCTTCTCTTCTGTGATCTGTCATACTCACCACTTTCGCATCAATGGCCACCTGAGCAAAGCCCTTCCGATTACCCCAGATAATAGTATACATCTCGTCACTGAAGAGTGCTTCCCGAACTCCACCTGGGGCAATGGCTATCAGACAGCCCCTCTTCAGAGCACTGACACATTCTTCTTTTGGTCCATGCATAACTCCATGTACATCAAGTAATATTTTAAAACCTGTAGGGTAGGATAATATTAATTCAGAAAATGTTAATTCATACTACCATTAAATACGGATTCCCAACACAGAACACAAAGGCTAAAACTTACTTGTCCGATAACCTGTAACCCCAAATCAAAGATGTTTCTAGAGAGACTGAAGCATTAAGTCCTGCTTATAAATTTCGGTCTAAAAAGTTGAAGATTCAGGGTTTTCAGTGGTTTTTTTGTCATAGTACAGTCAGGTGCTATCTCACAATCAGGACTAAACTGGAAAAAACGGGCAAGCACTCTGTGACATCTTTCAGGTGTCCCTTCAAAGGAGTTGTTAAGTCGGCTTCAGGGCACTGGCTCCTTGCCCAAGCTCTACTTTCCAAACGTAGAACAGTCCTAATAAAGTGCAACAAGAGAAAATACCGGCAAATTGATGTGGTTTTTTGTTTTAACTTTGGCAAACAAAGAGCAGTCTGTACACAAGAAGGGGAATGACAAAGAAAATGCAGCATTATCTGTGTTACAGATGACTACAGGGATTGACTCCCTGGTTCAGTCTGTGAGTACCCGGATGGCCTTTCACGCAAAGAGGCATCTGGCAAGCCTGGCCTGGGTATATTCATCTTAGATTAAGATTTTTCAGTTACTGAAGTTTTTAACTGTAAAGTTACGTAACTCCTCATATCATCTTGAATTTGAAATGTCATACTGACCCTACACTTCAAGAAATGGCGGAACATCAAAAATTCGCTTAGGAGCATCAAATGGGGGTATACCTGATAAATTTAGACAACTAGTCTAATGTGAAAGAACATAACTAGCATAAACCTCTGTTTGCAGGAAACCAATCACATTCAGTTGGTTCAATAAATTTTAAATTTATACAGTATTTATGAGTACTGCATACCAAAATGGGAACTTCAGATGGCTGAGCACTATGGGAAAGATTACTTCTCTTTCTTGAAGTTTCCCACTGAGGCAAACAACCTTATCAGCCATAGACAAGGACACAGAACTGATCTAGTTGAGTTTGCCCCTCAATAAAAGATCTTAATTTTTTAACCTCGGGTTAACACATGAATAGTTGTTACTATGAACACACATTTGTTACATACACACACACACACTGAAGAAGAGTCCAAATATAGTTAAGAAGACAGAGATCCATCTTCTCTTACAGCCCGCATAAACTAAGGGCTTGGGAAGGAGAGCATGAGGCAGCATATCATTAGTTCATTCTTAACTAAACTCTGATCTCTAACTAGTTTTTGTAGTTGGCGTGAGTATAATTAGTCCTGATTTATACCTATACAAAATCGGGGTCTGTCTGTAAACACGACAACAGAACACAGGCTGCGTTACAGCTGTCACATATTCTGCTGTACCTGCCTTGCACGCTGCTGATGACACCAGCAACCTTCATCTAGTAGCATCTGCACAGAGGACACCTGAAATAGAGTTTTCCTAACGTAATTTAATTTCTCTGTGGTGCTTTGTTTGTGGGATCTTCAAGAGCTAGTTTCTATAATGTTTTACATTCCCAAACTAATTAAAGCTCTCTGGAATGTACCTGGTGGTAGGAAGATGCCTGTCCACATCTTTTTTGTGTAGTGGGGTCCAGAACTGTACACAGTATTCCAGGTGTGGCCTGACAAGAGCTGAGTAGAGTGGGATCCAGATCATACATTACTATCAGTATCTCTGCTGCAGTAGAAAAGAGGAAGAACCTGGCTCTGTAGAGCAGCAGAGAGACAGGAGCTGGTGCAGTGGCCCTGAAGAGACAGCCGGGGTACTCTGTGCCCAAGGCAAAGGTCATCATGGAGTCAGAAGAAACACTGGGGTACTACCTGGTTGTTGCATGAAAGTGACCGAGAAACTATTTTTCCACTTTAAACAACAAAACAACTCTCAAAATTATCTAAGCAGTTTTTCAGCCTTCCAGAGCATGAAGGGATGCCAATTTTTTCAAATACCAAAGAAGTCCAAAATTAATTGTATTCCACAGTTCAGCCTGGATTCTGCCCTTTGCCCCAGCACACTCCTCTCCTATTTTCCATAATGTTCTGTCCACACTGATGTTTGAAAACCCTTTGGAGAGTACCCAGTAACACATTTAACACTTATCTGAATAAGTACACTATATACATTTCTCTAACTTTGCCCCAGTGACTGTAACATAGGGGCTGTCAGCTACCTGGTAGCAAGATAGCAAGGATATCACTTTTTCTGTGGTTAACCTTTAGGACCACAGACAGAGAGGAATCTTTTAAACCACTGAATTCAATCTTCCTCAACTGTGGGTAAACGTGTGGTTATCTGCAGAACATCTAGTCCACGAGACGCTTTGCAACACCTTGTGTATGTAACAGACAAGAAGCCACAGCTCCTTTTTGCTGGGACATTACAGGAGAGAGAATGTCTTAGATCCCTAAAATAGCAAGCAATCTTTTAAAGAGGGCTCCCAGATGACTCTAAGAAGCAGACATGGCCCATACCACAAGAGAGGGCAATGGAGAAGAACACAAGTGAAATCTCAGCCCTCACTGCAGTCTTTGGGAAAAGATTTTCTCTCAGCTCAACCTTAGAGAAATCAATGTACTCCTGAGCATTACACAGCTAAGAATCTAAAAGAACCAGAAACCACTGGAATTTTTTTTTCTCTGTGACTAACTTCCAGTATTTAAAAGAAAAAAGGAAAAAAAGAAGCTGCAGGGCCTATTTCACACATGGTATTGATACAGTATAAATTGAGAAAATGAAATTATCTCCTTTTGCATCAACATGAAAGATGCTTTAGGCAATGTTCAACAGGAATCTCCAGATATCTATAGGAGGTCTCCTATGAGGTTAGATCCCCTTCCCTAAGTTATCAAGCTGTATCTTTCAAGACTAGGCAGTAGGGAGAGGCATGTTTGACCCCTTGCAGGCGCATGCATCCTTTAGGAGGCACAGCAACATTGTACAAACACACTCCAGTTAATTGCAGTTAATTGAGGACAGCAGCACCCAATGCAGATGATGCAATGAGACTGCATGTTGGCAATTGCATACTGGCATGGACCCGAGATTCAGATTCACAGTACAAGCCATTCCTCACAGCTATTCATAGGAGATTCAATAATCATAAAAACATGCTGTGGTTTAACCCAGCAGGCAGCTAAAGACCACACAGCCATTCGCTCACACTCCCCCCCTCCCCAGTGGGATGGGGGAGGAGAATCAAAAAAAAAGCAAAACCCATGGGTTGAGATAGGCAGTTTAATAAATCAGCAGAGGAAACTATTATTATTATCATTACTATTAATAATAATAATAGAATATACAGAATAAGTGATGCACAATGCAATTGCTCACCACCTGCCGACCGCTGTCCAGCCAGTCCCCAGCAGCTATCGCTGCCCCCTGGCCAACTGCCCCCAGTTTAGATGTTGAGCATGATGTCATACGGTATGGAATCAGCCAGCTCTCCTGGCTGTGCCCCCTCCCAGCTTCTTGTGCACCTGCCAGAGCATGGAAAGCTGAAAAGTCCTTGACTGGTGCAAGCACTACTTAGCAACAACTGAAACATCAGTGTGTTATCAACATCATTCTCATTCCAAATCCAAAACAAAGCACTATGCCAGCTACTAGGAGGAAAATTAACTCTGTCCCAGCTAAAACCAGGACAAAACAGAAGGATCATTAATCTTCTAATCCAAGTATGTCTAACAGCTTACAGACTCCCCAGACCCACCTCCCATCCCACCCCCACCCCCCTCATCTCCTGCACTGAGCATAGAAACATTTGGCTAACTAAAACATCTTCTGAAAAGGCAACCAATTTAATCTGAAGACTTAATCAAGATCAGGCAGTCTTAGTACTAGGATAAAATTATGGCAGTCTTTCTGGTTTGATTCACAAGAGAAGCAGCATCTGTCTGGGTTGCCAGTTTTAGATCATTGTGCAGATTTTGAAACACAATCCAGAACATTATCTGGGCTCTTTGGGCTTGTCTTCCCTGAATAGCTTTGATTTGTTCACAAAACCAGAGAATTATGTAGGTTGGAAGGGACCTCTGAAGGTCATCTAGTCCAACCTCCCACTCAAAGCGGGTCCAACTAGATCAGGCTGCTCAGGGCCTCACCCAGTGGAGTTTTGAAAGTCTCCAGGGATGGAGATTCCCCAACTTGCCTAGGCAATCTTTTCCGGTGCCTGATCACCCTCATGGTAAAATACCTTTCCACACATCTAATCAAAACTTCCTGTGTTGCAACTTGTCTCTGTTGCTTTTCATTCTATTGCTGTGCACCTGTGAGAAGAGTCTGACTCTCTTCTCTGCACCCTTCCGTTAAGTCGCTGAAGACAGCAATAATGTCTTCCCCCACCCTTATCCAGTACAGACCAAACAAATCCAGTTCTCTCAGCCTCTCCTCCTAGATTGTATGCTCCAGCCCCCCACCACCCACTGAACACGCTCTAGTGTGTCAAAATCTGTTTTGTACTGGACACCATATTGTGAGATGTGCTTGCACAGGTGCCAAGCCACGGGAATAAACTTCTTCACTCAACCTGCTGGCTACACTCATGCTAAAAAAAGCTCAGTATACGGTTCATCTTCTTTGCAGTGTTTTTCACTAGGCTGTACAGCCAAAATCTTGCCCTAAACATATTTTTCATTTTCTTCATGCTTCACCTTATGTTTCACACAAACTTATTGGACTCTTCTACAGCTTTCCCCCATAGCAGATTCTACTTGGAACAGTCGTCTTGGGAACAGGCCCCACTGCCCACCATACTCAACTGGGTGGGACACAAAATTACATTGTCTCCCCAGACTAATATTGTCAACTTTAAGGACATTGCTTCAAAACAGTTTATTTCTTAATCAGGTTACACCAGTCATTCTGCCTATATCAATAAAAAAAAGGAACATCCTATTGAAGTCTTTGCTAACAATTAATACAGAGACAACCGTTTCTCCTATGATCTCCTTCTCTTGGTTTCTAAACACCCTAGAGTCATTGGAAGGTGCTGCCCAGCCAGAAGTATGACCCATCCTTGCATGGGCCAGTCTCATTAACATGTTCTTTACCAACAAGCATGAGTTTGAGACAGGTGTACTTCAACAGCTTCACTGAATCCGGCTGAATGTCTGTTCTGAGAGCTGTGTTCCCGTGGCACAATTTTTATTAATTACACCACTAAAAAAAAAAAATTAGAGTTCTCAAACCGATTGTTTGTAATGAAGTATGTTACCTGGTAATCTAAAGACGAAATGATCAGCTACTACGTGGCAATATCTCTTCTTTTGTATAAGAAGTCTAGCCATGAAATAGACATAGTCGGCAGGAGTAGCTCCATGATAAAACACAATAAGCCCTGGTCCTTCAGGAATATTTTCAGCACCATGAAGCTCATAACCTGTTAGGAGTTAATGGCATAACAGATGTCAAAGTTTGACACAATTCTATCCCAAAGAAACTAACTTGCGGCAAGTTGGCAAACTGAAACCAATTGCTATTGAGAAGTGGTAAGAGCAAAGTGGCTGCCAAAAAGTCAAGAGGTGACTTGAAGCATTTGCAAAGTTGCTTTCACACGAAATACAAGTTTCATTTAAAGCAAAGCATCACATTTAAAGAAAGAAGAACAAAAAAAATTTTGAAAACAAAACACCCAGTCTCACTGCCTTGAACTATGTAATTTTTCCTCATTTTTTCAGTTCACTGTCCTCAAGGCTGCAGAGTCCTCTGAATCAATCATGCAAGAGAAATCAAAATAAGGATTGGATAGGAGCTGTGAAACACAACTGTTTCAAGCTCTTATTTACGTTTCAAAGTTTATTGCCAACAGTAATTATTTAAGAAGATTTGACATGACAACATGCATTTACATGTCTCCTTTTACTCCAGGGATAAAGCTTATCTTTGTTATTTCCCTCAGAGTTATACTTGCTCCATTTTGCCATCAGTACAAACTAAAAGCTGGTTGGGGCTTTATATGATTAATTGAAACATACATAAACACACACAAGTTTCTTACTGAACTTACATTTCTAATTAACAGTGCAGAGTATATTGAGTTAACACAAAATATCAAAATGAATCCTTATAGAACATATTCAGTCAATACTGAACAGTATTGTTACAGTATCTTGTTTGTGGTTTTTTTTAAATAAACAACAACAAAAAAAACGCACCCAAAAAACCCCCCAAGCCAAACCATGTCACTTCTTCCAAAGTTAATAAAATCTGCAATTACCATTCCTTTTTTTTTTTTTTTTTTTAATTCTGAAGGTACTCTTGGCTCTTCTTCCTCTATTTCTCTTTCTATACCTGTGGAGCTGCAACATATTGCAAGCACATCGTCTGTACCATCCCAAGTGGTCACTAACTGTGCTTCATGCCAGCCAATCATAGCCAGAATGATACCTACATCTAGCATTTACATAATATATGTAAAGTTACAAGTACCACACACCAGTTTGGGGGCTTAGGCTTTTTGGTTGTGGGGTTGGTTTGGGTTTTTGGGTTATTTTCCGATGCTGTAAGGTTTCAGGATGAAAAGTTCTTCCTACAATATATTGATTAATGAAGTGGATGCAAAACTTTTCATTCTTTAGCAAGAGCAGTGTATAGAGAATATGGAAGCAGCTGGCAGGGCAGGAAAAGTCACAATTGTCGATGAGGGACTGGATAAGAATCTCTTCTGCACAAATAAAAAGTTAGACCTTATAAAAAGAAAAAGTTACTAAGGATGAAAAGAGCAAGGCCTTAAAAACCATTTTCTTATGAAAAAAGTAAATAGCTTTTTATTGTGAAGTGAGCATTTTAAGGTCTTTGATGTAGCTGTTGATTTTGATCTAGTATACTTTCCTAGATTTGAAAGTTACATCTTGGTCTTACAAAGCCTATCTGATACAGCCACTGCACCATCTGGTTATCAATGCCTTGAAAACCCGCTTCCCTTTGACTAGAGAACAAATAGAGATGATTTTCAAGAAGGATTTGTTCTTTATGTAAATTGCTCTTAAACATCTCTTTCTCCTTTAGCTGCATCTAGACTGAATGATTCTGAAAGAGGCTTATGATTTCCTTAGAAAGAAAAGCCAAATCATTTATTAAGTCTTTCTTTATAAAAGAAATAATGGTAGAAGGACAAGGAACAGAGCCCTTAGTTTTGACATTCTAGTAGAGAAAGTAGTTGTCAAAAATACATAGACAGAAAGAAAACAAAAAAAAAGTAGGGATCTGTAACAGTTTGGGGCTCTAAAGTCAATTTGAAGCAGCAACTAGTGAGTGAACTGACACTAAGTGCTCCTTTTAGCCATCATTTGGCATTACATGTAAAAGACTGGTTAAGTGCAATTACATTATGCTAACATGCTGACATACTAGCTGTCAGGGAACTGGCATTTAATTTCCAGTGTTCATATATTGGCTCTGGAATAATACAGTTAATTGATCTAATTGTTAACATAGCAATCATTTCAGGTCCTCCTGGAATGAGGAAATCCAGGAGTAGTTATAAAAAGTAAAAAAGAAAAAAAATTAAATAATTTTTAAAAATTGTATCTATATTCAACTGGATGAAAGATCTCTTTTTGTAGCAGTAAAGGACTAAATGCGTAAGACAAAAAAACTTACATCCAAGAAAGCCTCAGTGGCTTTTTTCTCCCAAGCATCACTGGCAGTCATTGATAAAACAGAAAAAAAAATTGGCATGAATTTTAGATTTCATGCAACAACAGCAACAATCATATATATATTGATAATCCTGAAAGGTAAACCAGGAATAAGAGCTTCAGCAGTTTTTAATGAAAAGTCAGATCTTGCTTACCATGCCATATTCTTCCATGTCCATCCCATAGGGTAGCCAACATTTGCTTTGCACCATCCCAAAAATCATTGGAATAAGCTTCCTTTAGTTCATTCTTCCTTTTGTAAATATGAAGAAGGAGAATGGAAGTGTAGAAGAGGATGACGAGAACTCCCGGAAGTAGAAAAACTACCGCGAGTGGAAAAAGCACCCATGAAAGGTAGACTGCATAACTCAGATAATCTTCAATATGCTCCACGCCAGTCCATTCTCCCAGAACGTAAGTCAGGCAGGTTAAGTAGGACATAGGTATCGGTCCTGCAGTACAGGATTCATTGCCACCTATCATCTCCTGTTTAATTAAAAAAAAAAAAAAAAAAAAAAAAAAAAAGAGGCAGATGAATAAACCCTCAAAAAGGCAGACCTGCCTGTACTGTTTAATTGTACAAAAACACTCTCTGAGGCATTTTATTCATATACCATTTACCCCATGTCCCAGCAGCACCTATTAGAAACATAATGGTTCATACAGCAGCTGTTTTACTTGATTTTTTCAGTCTTTTTCTTTTGTGTAGTGGAAATGCTGACCATTCTAATTGAGAAAGTGCAATTGCTTAATCTCAGGCTAAGATTTTATCTCATTAAAAAACTGTTCAACTTACACAGATCCAGAACATTTACACTGTTACCAAACCAACTTAGACTGTATTTTCGATTTTCAGAAAGCTATATTGATTAGTCTAATTTATTGTTCTACACAATACACAGTACCCCCAAAACCTTCCCCCAAGCACTCACTACAATAGGAAACAGCACAATCTCAAATCCAGTGCCATAAAACACCTACTGAACACTTCTTCTAACCACAAGCATGCCATGACTCAGGAAGAAGATGGTCTCAAATAAGCAAGTCTCACTCCTGTAGAGACCTTCAACTGTACCTGACAACTCACAGATAGTGAAATGCCAAGTCCCAGAGCACAACACAGAGAGGAGGCAGAAAGGACAAGGAAAAAAGATCACAAAAAGTCCTCTAGAAGTTTTAACTGCTCTGGCTTTAGTGCACCTATGTATAAGAATCTCTCTTCTCCAACGCCAGCTCCTAAGAATTTTCAGGGCTACACCTCCCTGGGCTGATATTTCAGGCTTTCTGTAATTCTGGACCAACATTTTTTTCTTAGCTTTGTACGATTTAGGGGGAAAGCTGTTATTCAACTCCATCTTACGAACATAAGACAACCTGCCTGCTTGGCTATCTTAGCTACAGGTCTAGAACAATATACATAATACCCTGGGGGGAAAAAAGTTATCCTAGTCTAGAATAAAGTTTTCGTCAAGACTTGAAGTAACTGTTAGTCAGGACCAAGAAGAAAAACGTGCTGCATCTATACTGTAGGCTCGTAGAGATAAACTGATTAAGACAATAAATTCTGAAAGAATCTGAGCTTGGGGTTGTTGTGGTTTGGTTGTTTATTAAAATGTGACTTACAACATGTATGATCGCAGAGTTCCTATGCCTAGATGGACATACGTCTGTCAGTCCCTTACTCTTGCTCTGTTTTTGCAAGCAACAGGTGACTGAAATTCAGATGGTAATTTTGCTAGTACTATCAGAACCCCCATGACAACAAAAACTACATATCAGTTTTACTCCACATTTGCTATGAGATGCTGAAACACGTACTAGAGCAGAACTCATCTCACTTCTTTCCCGGTCTCATTTTTTCCTCCCGTTCGGATAGAGCACAAGGATGTTCCTTTTCCTTCTGTTTTGAAATCATCCTCCACCCACATTGCTCAAGATAACCCCTATTAATGAGAAGAACGCTGATCTCGTGACAAGGACTTTGCTCCCACAATCCATGCCTGTTCCACTAATTCAGGCTTACAACATTTTGCTCCTCAGCATGTTCTTGAGGACAATGTGATGAGCAGCTGATTTACCTTCAGCGATGTATTAGCATGTAGCATTACTGACATGAACTTCACTGATTTCATGCACATGTGTTTGGGGGTGTGCATTAGGGGCAAAGGACGGGAGATAGCAGGCCTGTGGGAGAACAAGAGAAAGTTCTTTCTCATCCCAGTTGCCAGAGCTGAACTCCAGAACCCGTCAGGCAGCAAACACCCACAGCAAGTACAAGAAACACAACTTGTGAGACCAAGCAGGGTTTAGGAGTAGCATTCAACACCACACTATTTATCAGATTTCTATGCCCGGACTTCTCCAGCAGTTCCACCTACTAGCTAGAGAACAATATGGAGCATGCATTATGGCACAGAAACGTTTTTCAAAACTCAGAGGTGATTATATAGCTTATAAGATTACTTAAAGTTATACTCCCTCGCCTATTATATTGTTAATTGTTTATGGCTTTTTCCAAACACAAAATCCTCATCAAGTAAATCTAAAGTCCTGTCCACACATGTCAGCCTTGCAAAATATTACTTGTCCTTTTCCCTGTAATTTTAGATGCAATATCTCAAATGCAATCATTTCAGTTTTATAAATTTACTTGCCTATCCATGCACTAACCTGTAACAGAAATTTAAATCCGACATGTTCTTTGCTGCCAACCACAGAAGTAGCATCTAAAGTACTGCCTTCTGTTAGGGATTGCCAACTCTACTCTGAACAACGTTGTTTCCTCATCTTGAAGAGAATCATAGAATAATTTATATCGGGAAGACTCATTGGGCAGCACTTGTCCAACCTCTTGCTAACTAAGGAGTTAGATCAGGTTGCTCAGGGCCATGTCCAGTCCAGTTTGTAGTATCTCCATGGATGGAGATCCCAGTGCTTCTCTGGGCCCCTAATCCAGTGCTTGACCACCCTCATGGCAAGAATGTTTTTCCTTATTCGGGTAAGAATTCCCCTTACTGCAATTTGTGCCTATTGCCTCCTGTCCCTTTGCTGAGAAGGGTCTAACTCCCTCCTCTCTAAAACCACTCATTAAGAGCAGCAGTAAGATCCCCTTTAAGGCCTCTCCAGGCTAAACACACACACCTCCCTCAGCTTCTCCAGACACCACTTGCTCCAGCCCCCTAACAATGTTGGTGGCCCTTCTCCGTACCCCTTCTAGTCCGTCAGCATCTTTCTTGTGGTCTCAAAAGTGCTGAAAAGAGGGTAAAAAATACTTCCTTGATCTAATGGCTATGGCCTTGCTAGCACAGCCCACAATGTAGATAGCCATCCTCATATTTGACTTACCGTCCACCAGGCTCCTCCAGGCCTTTATCTCCTGTAATTTTGCTCCCCCCGTAACAAGTCCAGCATTTGTCCTGATCACTCGTGGTAGGTAGTAGAGGCATACTCCGTAGCCAAGTCCAAGTGTGATTTACGTTATTGCCATGCTGAACACCCTACCAAAGGCAATGGCAGTGAAGAAGGGAAGACAGATTCTCTCTCCATGATCAAAAAAAGCACAGGATGCTCCACACTGAATAAAGGTCCAACATAGTTCCTACATGCTACTAACAGATAATGTCGTTTTTGTCCGTTCCAACTTTACAGCTGTCTACTCTGTGACTGTCCAGAGCAGTTAAAATTACAAGGTAACACAGACTGTCTTCTAGAAACACTAGCAGTGTCATTCTGATTAGGCCCTCATTCAAGCAAAGAGAGACTACCCTGCTCTCCTTGTCAGAGGTTTTCTGACATGTCACCATCCAAATTGAAAACCTACAATGGGGTGCAGTAGTACTGAGTCTCACCCTTAGCCAACTTACAGGCAGAAACCCTCTGTAATACAAGCATACCCTTAAAGGACATCTTATTTTAACTGTCATCACTAACATGTTGCCTATTGGGCAGTTCAAACTAAATATTTTTAATTTAAGTTCTAACTTCCTAACAGAGCAGTTCATTTTCACTAGATGAAAAAGATCCAATTTCTCATCTGACTAATGACAGTGCATGCTGACTTATGCTTACTCTTAAGGCTTCACGTTGACGGTGAAATGGAAACAAGGCTAACCTGCAATTCCTTCCGCTGACTACTAGCATGTGACCCAGTAAAGTCCTTAACTAAACTACCTACAACGGTGGTCTTCGGGTGCAGTCAGCAGACGCTGGGTTATTGGAGACCCTACTGATCACGCGAGGAGAAGCAATTATGGAAAGCAACACATCCTGCCGTAAACCACACACAGCGCAACTTCAGCATGTGCACGAAATGCGTAAGCAGAACCTCCGGAGAACACCCCAGCGCCTCCAGACCAGAGAGATACCGAAAAGCAACAGCTAGGACCTGCCCCTGCCGACCGAAATACACCGCCCTCCACGGCATGGGCCGGTTAGGGAGCGCGTTCCTGCCAGAATTTGCAGTGCCACCGCAAAGGCCAAACCCCAGAAGACCCTGATAACCCTGCTAAGGGCGGCACCCGCAGCTGGCCAGATCCTGGAAGCGGGAGGGCGGCCCTCTCCGCGTTCTGAACCGAGCGCTGGCCCGCTCCGCGCCTCTCCGACCGCAG